GTCGGCCAACATTCTAGAGGGGGCATCAAGTCGGCCAACATATTAAAGAGGGAGGGGGGGACATAATCTAGAAATTGGTTAAAATAAAAATAATTAGTATAGATTATTAACACAAGTAAAGAATTGGTATACCAATGATAGGATTTCTCTACAAAAATTGGCCCGACGAGTGGGGGAGCGACCGACCCTACCCCCCCCCCCTTTCCCTGGATCCGCCACTGGTTAATTGTGTACAATTTAATGACAATTGTAAATAGCCTTATAGAAACTCTGGAATGTATTTATAAGATAACATTTGTTTGTTTTTCTCCAGGGAGCATTCATTCTATTCAAGAAACTGGTAGGTTTAAATCTAATCACATAGGTATAGACATAATAATCACAAAATAGGTTTAAATATAACACCTACTCATAATAAATGTATAGGCCTTCTCGTGTATAAGATTTAGTTAGACAACTTATGTTTAGTTCAACAGTTTAGTCGTATAATATAGATAGATAGATAGATAGATTGATTGTTTGATAGATAGATAAACAGATAGTTAACTCATACTAACGACTTTGCAGAAATTCAACTTATGGCCTTGAGGAAAATGCGAGACATTGACAAATGTGTAGACACAAGTGACCTTGACTTTGACCCCGACGACTACGTCCGGTTTATGCGCCTGAGAAACAAACAGATGAGCAGACGATTTTCAAAACGAAGGTCAACACTAATCTCACATACCGAAGCTTCGAGAAGGGTATCGGACGAGGAAGTCTATCTCGAAGACGCTCCAAGTCAAATATCGTCTGATTGAACCGCAAGTTTCAAATCACGTGATGCGTCTGAAGAATTGTTCAATACTAGTGGGGAGTCATGGGCTACGCCATTTCCGCCAAATATCATCCCAACATTTTGCTAATATCCCATGATACAATGTAAACATCCCTACATAGTTTACGCGACATATTAGCATTATTAGTAAAACATGTGTACATACTTCTAAGAATTTTTACTTTTCATTAGTAGAATAAAAAACAACACTTCATCCTATTAGTATATATATACAAAGGTAGACATATTGTGATATATTTTTATATCTATAAGCCGTAAAATTATTAGCTTTAAGATTTATCTAAGCTATCATCTTTAATGTCAACTTTATAGTCCTAAAATATTTATTACTAGCCTGACATTACCCGCGGCCTGCGGGTCTAAGTTTGTGTTTACTAATCTAGTGGATTGGATTTAGATGTATGTTAAACTTAACTAATGATCCTTTCAAGTTTTTTCTCTTTCGCTACGAAAATAAAATTAGTTTTGCGAAAATTGGTTTACCCGTAGCCGATACATTCATATCTATTAAAAACGAAAAGAGCGATAGCTTTGTTAAATGAATGGGATTATAAAGTGAACAATTAAACGAAATAATATTTAGTACGCGATTCATGAATGAATATAGATCTAGGCCTATCTCAACTCGGCTTCGCAGCTTTCGTAAACGAATGTAGTCTCTTAATAATGCTTTAGAAAACCAAATTTGAATGTTTATTTGATCAAAATATGAAATGAATGGACTATAATTAGTATGTTCATGTGTTAAAGTATAAAACTATCTGTGCGAAGAGAAGTTTTATCATCTTAGAGTTGAATTAGAGTTTTAGATCTAGGGATGGGATTATAAAGTAAACAATTAAACGAATTAATTTTTAGTACGCGATTCATTACGGTATTGTCTAATGAAAGAATGTTCGCCAGGAAATCTGTAGTCACAGATATAACGAACTAATTTATGTAAAAAATGCTTTTAAAACACAAAATTGGAGGTTAATTTTATTATATAATGAAATCAATGGATCTTCTTTTGTATTTTCATGTGTCAAAGTAAAAAGCTATCTGCGCAAAGTCTATTTCTTAAAATTAGATCTAGTTCTAAATCCTTTCAATCTTTTCTCATGTCAACATTGTATACATGGCCTAGATCCATAAATACTATAGCTTTAATAGAGTAGGACAACTTTATTTTTTTTTAAGGGTCTTAATTTTGTTTTAGGGCTACAATACATACACTACGGTTTAAGTTGGTACCCAAGAAACATTCCTGCCAAGTTTTATCAAGATTGGTCAAGCGGTTTTGATGTCTAAAAGTCACATACATACACCTCACATTCTACTTTATAGTATAGATATATTCAATATATCATTTTTAATAGAACTTTTATATTAAAGAGACCAAATCAAAGGTTCGTAGTGTCATGAAGGGGAAGTTAATGTCACATCATTATTTCACTTGTATTTGTAAGAGTTATCTTCCTTGAGCCTACACAACACGCAAGATCTACGTAAAAAAACTCAATAATAATAACTAACAATTTGTGTTGTCTCTATACAAATACATTTTCATTATGTAGTGTATTATTAGGCGCAGAACATCACTTAGTATTTATACGTAGCTTATATAACTCAAAGCACTTTATATATGTAACATATGAAACTAATGTCAGCATTGTCTTTGCTTGTGTCTTGTTCAATAAATATGTTTCTAAAACATAAAGAATCACGAAACAGACAATGTTCAATCATGGACAAATATTTCAACATTTCTGTCTACTAAGTCATTGGCTAGAGAATACATTGTATCATCTGTAGGATTAACACTGCAGTCATTGCAACAAGAAATTAAATCGTTAAAATGAAATGTGTTGTTGATTTTTATACAACCGCTTTGCAATGCAGGCCGGACTCAGACTTTAAAAAAAATTTGAGGTAAATTATAGATGTCCATAAATAAACATAGATGTCTGCACGCTTACGCCCTGAAATTATAGATGTCCATAAATAAACATAGATGTCTGCAAGCTTACGCCCTGAAATTATACAGGTCCATAAATAAACAGATGTTTGCAAGCTTACGCCCTGAAATTATAGATGTCCATAAATAAACATAGATGTCTGCAAGCTTACGCCTTTAAATTATAGATGTCCATAGATCAAAATAAATATCACACCTGGTGTCCACTGCTCTGAGGTCCTCCATGAAAGTGTGGCGCCAAGTTATACTAGGATGTCCCTGTTTCCTCTTAATGGGCTCTTATTATACGTAATTCATTTTGACAGAGAACATGTCCCGCAAACCTCTTGGGACTCTATTACAAGCTCACTAAGTGGTCGACTCCCAGTTCGGCATAGGACTTCCTTGTTTGAGACCTTATATCTGTTACTGACTCCTAAAATCCGTCTTAGCCATCTTTGTTGAGTCACATTTAGTGTTTTCTCAATTTCGGGAGACGACTTCCATGTCTCTCACATGCATAAGTTGCTGCTGGGAGGACGATTGTGTAAAATAGGTGGATTGTTAAAGTCCACTAACTGGCTTGTCCAAATAGAAAATCAAAAACCTCATCAAATACTATGACAGACAGAAGGGTAGAAGCACATTTTTTTGGTATTTCATTTGCCAGGACAAAGTCGAATAAATGCTCCTTCTTCCCTAGTGCCATTAGAGAATAGAATAGGTTGCCTGAGTCAGACTGGAAAATCAATGACGTAGCAGAGTTTAAGTCATTGATCAACATGCATGACTACATTGAGACATGAAATAGATAGGACGTAATTTCTCTTTTAAACTAACCGATGTGTCATCTGTAGTGTGTCGTGTTCTTTTATTTTCATCCATGGCAAGTGGGAGAATAAGTGAATAGGTCAGTGGATGAATCAACTGCTTAGAATAAGTGAATAGGGTCAGTGGATGAATCAACCGCTTAGAATAAGTGAATAGGGTCAGTGGATGAATCAACCGCTTAGAATAAGTGAATAGGGTCAGTGGATGAATCAACCACTTAGAATAAGTGAATAGGGTCAGTGGGTGAATCAACCGCTTAGAATAAGTGAATAGGGTCAGTTTATGAATCAACCGCTTAGAATAGGTGAATAGGTCAGTGAATGAAATCAACCGCTTAGAATAAGTGAATAGGGTCAGTGGATGAATCAACCGCTTAGAATAAGTGAATAGGGTCAGTGGATGAATCAACCACTTAGAATAAGTGAATAGGGTCAGTGGAAGAATCAACCGTTTAGAATAAGTGAATAGGTCAGTGGATGAAATCAACCGCTTAGAATAAGTGAATAGGTCAGTGGATGAATGAACCACTTGTATTGATAAATCCTGTCACTATGTAAGAAGTACGTTAACACGTGACGAGGAGACGCTCCAGCATTTTGTTTTGTTCTTCTCTTGAAGAGTATTGTGGGATAGATTCTAGGATTGGGTGATCATTGGTGCATACTTTGATGGTATCGCAGTTGACTTTCACAGTGAGTCTTTCATCTCTTATATAGTACGTACTGGCAGTACATTCTCATTTATAATCTTTTTTTCTTAATCTTAATTAGCTTCTAATTTTCGGGAGTATTTTCTTGGATAGTGTTAATACGACTTAATTTTTTTTTTCAAAATGTCCAATAGGTTGAGGAGGAGGAATGTCGCAGTTTTGGTGTACAAATTATACGCTATTCTTCGTACCCTGTAATTTGCACACGAAATAACCACCTCTTTCTTGATAAATGTTAGTAATTATTCATCATCAATATCATTTTCATTATATATATACATATATATAATAACATTAAATTCATTATTTGTATTATAATTCATCATTCACAGAGTCTGTACTCTGTACGACTGTGTGTGCATGATGTGTCTGTCAGGCTGATTTTAAAACTTAAATTTGTAAAAGTTCACAGAAACACATGCTAATAAATTGAAAGAAATGAAATAGAAAAACTGAACATATAAACACTGTGGCGACATGCAATTGGTGCTTTCTAATTGAATTCTATTATAATGTTTTGTTTGGTGTAATGCACAAATTTCCTTACGGACAATAAAGATTATTATTATTTGTTCAGAGTAGAATTATAAAATTCTAAGTCATGACACATGGCAAGAAACTTAACATCCTGTGATGACGTCATCTCTTTACTAAACAAATACAACGTTGTACTATAGTTGCCTGTTAGGGCAAACACACACACACATACACACACACAAGAAGTCATTCCAAGAGTGATATAAACATTTTATTTCAACCTCTTCTAACAACATGTATAACATTGGAATGAACAAATGAGACAAATTACTTTTCATGTTCAAACTATCTAACAATGGGATGTACAACAGACACGGCAATGAAGAGTGTTTAATGCTGGTAGGAGTGGATTGAGCTGATGTTGTATTATTAATGCAGACGATCAAATAACTAATAAGGCAATGTCTCAGAAATGTAATGAGTACGCCTACACCTGGATGATGCAACAGAAATATATAACAGAATAAACTTCTGACCAAGTTTTAAAAAAGTGGGAGAGCGTTTCATTTTTCTCATGCATTTTCCAATAGTACTTGACACTGACGTGGTAAGAATGTTCAGAGATACAATAGTTTAGAGTTGAAATGTTCAGAGATACAATAGTTTAGAGTTGGAATGTTCAGAGATACAATACTTTAGAGTTGGAATGTTCAGAGATACAATAGTTTAGAGTTTGAATGTTCAGAGATACAATAGTTTAGAGTTGGAATGTTCAGAGATACAATAGTTTAGAGTTGGAATGTTCAGAGATACAAAGTCAGATTTTGAATGTTCAGAGATACAATAGTTTAGAGTGGGAATGTTCAGAGATACAATAGTTTAGAGTTTGAATGCTCAGAGATACAATAGTTCAGTGTTTGAATGTTCAGAGATACAATAGTTTAGAATTTGAATGTTCAGAGATACAATAGTTTAGAGTTGGAATGTTCAGAGATACAAAGGTCAAAATGTGAATGTTCAGAAAATTTTGACTAGTACTCAGGTGTTGGTCACTTTGCTGAACCTACTGCAGAGGGACACAATCTTAGTTCTTCCTGGTGGGAGCTGGAGAGCTCACGTGAAGGATATACCCCCCCCCCCCCTTTGGCAGTAGTTTGGGCACGACTTCTGGTGACAGTGATCACAGTTGGGACGCTTCCGATAAGGGCCGAGAGCTACACACGCAGTTGAGTAGACCAGACCTAAAGGACGCATGGTGGGAGCTCTGCCGTGCGGAACAGGCAGTCCTAGCCCAGTTCTGAGTCGGACACTGTCCAATAGACGCGTACTTTGGACGTTGGAAGAAAGGATTACTACACACGGTGCCGCCACTGCGTCGAAGACGACGAGACAATAGTGCACATTCTTTATGAATGCCGAGCTCTGCATGAGGAACCTATGGGACAAGGAATTGAGAGAGAGAGAGAAAGAGAGAGAGAGAGAGTACTGGTCCATGTGTGACAAAAGGTATGTCCTTGTAGGGGAACAAGGTGACCTTAAACTCACTGCCCGCTTCCTCTTCCGTGCCCTAAGGGAGTAATTCTCAGCATGGTTGTTACTAATGGGGTTTCTGATTTGGTGACAGTGATCAGTGGCATTGTTAAACAGAAAGTTAGGTCACTCCATTTTTAATCTGGATCAGTTGCAGACGATGAGTAGTTTTGATGTCACAATGAATTCTTATTGAGCAGTGGATAAACATATCTAAATGCAGAGTCAAAAGTATCCTACATGTAATGGAAATGTTATATACATTTTGTTTATTATAACAGTACTGAATGTTTCAACATTGCTCATTAAAATGTTTACACAATGTTAAGTTCAATGTATGCATCAAGTAATACGTTACACTATCGGACATTTCACTTCATTAGACAGTTAATGATACAAGACCATCTCAGTCACTTCATTAGACAGTTAATGATACAAGACCATCTCAGTCACTTCATTAGACAGTTAATGATACAAGACCATCTCAGTCACTTCATTAGACATCTCAGAGTCTCTTGGCGGCCCTGCCTTCCTACGTCTCCGTGGTGTCTTATTGCCTTTTACATCCATGTTTTGATGTCTGAAGTTTTGATGTCTGAAGTCTTGATGTCTGAAGTTTTGATGTCTGAAGTTTTGATGTCTGAAGTCTTGATGTCTGGAGCCTTGATGTCTGAAGTCTTGCTGTCTGGAGTCTTGATGTCTGAAGTCTTGATGTCTGGAGTCTTGATGTCTGAAGTCTTGATGTCTGGAGTCTTGATTCTGAAGTCTTGATGTCTGGAGTCTTGATGTCTGGAGTCTTGATGTCTAAAGTCTTGATGTCTGAAGTTTTGATGTCTGGAGATTTGATGTCTGGAGTCTTGATGTCTGAAGTTTTGATGTCTGGAGTCTTGATGTCTGAAGTCTTGATGTCTGGAGTCTTGATGTCTGAAGTTTTGATGTCTGAAGTCTTGATGTCTGAAGTTTTGATGTCTGAAGTTTTGATGTCTGAAGTCTTGATGTCTGGAGTCTCGATGTCTGAAGTTTTGATGTCTGAAGTTTTGATGTCTGGAGTCTTGATGTCTGAAGTTTTTATTTCTGGAGTCTTGATGTCTGGAGTCTTGATGTCTGAAGTCTTGATGTCTGAAGTTTTGATGTCTGAAGTTTTGATGTCTGGAGTCTTGATGTCTGAAGTTTTGATGTCTGAAGTCTTGATGTCAGGAGTCTTGATGTCTGAAGTTTTGATGTCTGAAGTTTTGATGTCTGGAGTCTTGATGTCTGGAGTCTTGATGTCTGGAGTCTGGATGTCTGGAGTCTTGATGTCTGAAGTCTTGATGTCTGGAGTCTTGATGTCTGAAGTCTTGATGTATAAAATCTTCAGATACCGCTTGCAGACATCTCAGTAGGTTAGTCTTAGGCCTTGGGAATGCTTACGTTGGACATGTGACATGTCCGAGCAAACGTAATCCTCTTTATGTCAATATCGCATAGACTTGAGTATCGGCCAATTTTTAAAAAAAATCTAATTGGAGACCCAATCCCTCCCGATGTGTGTCGCAATTATTTAGTCACATTCTGCTCCGGTTAAATGATAAGAAATAAATTCACAATGGGAGCATCCATTGTCATTCGAGACAGGAGCAATGGATAATCTAAATGTACTAAAATAATGTTTTTTTAATATACAGACTAATATAAAGCTTTGAATGAAACTTCATTTCAATACTTACTTTACTATACACTTCAACTATGAACATAGATCGCTGTTGTACATCTAAAACAAATAGGATGACAATAAAAGAATGTCTCATTGAGAAGCGCGAGACATTAGTGTAGAATAGTTCTAAGAATGAAACACAAAGACATTACTGAGCTGGAGGTCAGGAAGTGAAAGACAGAGCAGGCCGCACATGGACTCTTGCAGGTTTTGGATGCAGGTGCTTTAGTTGTGGCTGTCGATTGTTTTGTTGTTGTCGTTGATGCCACTGTCGTAGTTGTTGTTGCTAATGTTGTTGTCGTTGTTGTTGTATTCGCCTCAGCACAAGTCTTACAACAATTGATGACTTTTGAAGCTGGACAAGAATACCCATTTCGAGCTAGATCGTTTGCTAGAACTGAACAATTGTTCTTGTCGCCCCACGGGCAGTCTAGTCACAAAATGCAAGAAAAATAAACAAAAAAAATTACATTAAGTGTAATTTCATGAAGTTGTTTTGATCAGTCATATCATTAAATATTTAATAGATCTAGACTAACAATAATAAATCTGTGCAATTAGAAATATTTTTACCGATTGGTTTAGTTTGGCGTGATTTCATGCTCAATGCGCTATGACCTTATCACTTGACGAGACCAGTAGGGAAAAAGAGGATTGGGGGAGAGGTATCTGAGATTTTGTAGATATCTATTTGAAGTTTCCAACTTTAAGCCACGATTTAATTCTCTACACAAAGTATAAAAAGAACTAACTCAACTAATATCTGTACAATGTCTTTCAATTACCAAACAAAATAATGAATAATCAATAAAAATTAATTACCAATTATCTAATAAACATAATTATACTTTTTTTCAATTGATTCTTGTTTTGTCAGGTACAAGAAATAATTGTGCGAAGTTTCAGCTTGATCCGAGATTGGTAGTATGAGAAATAACGTGTACAAACTTTTGACCAGACAGACAAAGTGAGTAAATAGAAGCAAGCTTTGTAAATATAAAACTGTGTAATAACACAAAGCTTGTGTGAGCTGGCGCTCCTAGATCTAATTTTTGACCTAATTTTATCTTTATTTTAATTTGTTATTTATATAGGCCAGGGCTATGATGTTTGTAATTTACTGTCTTTTTAGTTTATATAGTTCAGTGCTGAGCATTTTGTAGTTTCCGCTATTTATAACTTTCTGCTAGTTTTAGTTTTTTTCTGTTATTTGTGTTTTACTTGTAGAGGAAAAGTAGTTTTTAAAAAAGTTAACTAGCCTTAGAGCTATGGATGTTCTTTCCTATTTTTTGTCCCTCGTTAGTTCTGGTTATTTTTGTCTTTGGTATTAGCGTTGGATTGGTTGTTATTTTTTAATATCAGTTTATGTGCAGGTCTGTAAACGGTATAGAGCCCCCGTAGGAGTTTAGAATAGAAATAACTTTTTATCTTCCTTTTTGTATTTTTGTAGGATTTAAATTTTAAGATTCTCTTTTTAATGTTGTTTAATTTGTTATATAATGTTGTGTAGTCCGTGTCTTTAGTCATTTGCTAGATTTTATTGTTGTGTACGGCTAGGTACAAATTAGGGAAATCGGTAGTCCAGTTTAGTTTTAGATAATTAGCGTGACGTCATGCTCTCCGATATGTTCGCGCTGACCTGTTATAGCTAGCTCCGGAACCACGTTGAGCTCTCTTTTGTCTTGACCAGTGGTCAGTGCTGACAGTGGTGCCTGTATAAAGCTAATTGTGTATTGTATAATTTCAGCTGGGACCGCCTGTAAGTTGGAAAATGTTTTTATTTTTACTTTCTTTAGTTCGTATTTGTATTAATTGTTTCTACATCTATTGTTATAGTCTAGATGCAGACTGATTAGTGTAGTGGCATCACTGGCTAGTTAATTAGTCATGATTACCTCTGATGGAACCGGAAGTTCCGTAGAGTTGGGTAGCGTCACCTCTTTTAGCCATCCTTAATGATCCCCTTATTGTTTTTCGATTGTTTGTCTTTTTGTAAATATTTTATTATTTTATGTCTTCTAAAAGTATTTTTATTAATATTATAATATTGTTAGGATAACGGTTCTAACAAGTTGGCATGTGTCCGATTTTAATTTTTAATGTAAATGATGGCTGCGTCCTACTCAACGCTCCATGATGGCGGTTTTGTTAAGCCAAAACTAGATTTATGTTTATTATTGTCTGACCCAACATGTGTTGTGGCGTAAGCTTTTAAGTAGGTATCATAATAATAATAATGTATGGCTTTTTATTAGCTAAATGAAGGTAATTGTATTTACCTCATGTATTTAGGTATGTGTATGAGCTAGACTAGGTCTAGTTCATTATTATTTTCTTATATTATGTCTTATGTTTGTTTATATTTGTAATTGCAGGCTATAATTCCTGCCTAACTGTCTGCCGCAGTTATTAT